TATCATTTTTTGTTTGTCTTTAATATTATTTAAATATTTCTCACAAAAGATTTTTTTAATTATATTTGAGTTTTCGTTATTATTATTGTTATTATCTTGTATCATAAAATATTTTTGAAGAATTTTTTAATTTTAGAAATCATTTTTACAACAATTTGTTATTTAATATCAGAATATATATTTTTAAAAAAGAGATTTTTTTTTTATTATAATTGAGTTATTTTTCTAAAGTCTAACATTTGCCCTTAAAATAATTATTTAACTTAAAAATTTAAAACTAAAAAAAAAAAATACTTTTGGCAAGTTTTGAAGCTATTCTGCCCCACTATGTGGCGTCCCAAAAAAGTTTTTCTTTTTCAGGTAGGTTCGTGTGTAGTTCTGTCCATTAAAAGTTAAAATAAGAAGATTTTTGAAATTTTTTGACGTATTGACTTTTTTCATTTAGATTAATATTGCATTTAATATATCTTAGAAAGAACTTGGTTAGTAATGCAAAAAAAAAATTGTTATGACACCGTATATTAGAAAAATTTGTTATGGAGTTGTGTTGTGACCAAACTAAAATTAGTAATTAAGTTAACTAAAAATAAAAATTAGTCAACTTCTTAGTTCGAATAACTTTTTAGTTCGGCTAACTTCTTAGTTCGACCCACTTTTTAGTTCGGCTAAAATTAGTCAAATAACTTTTTATTTGTCGAATAACTTGTTTATTTTGATTTAAAAGAAATCTAACTGATTGAAATGGTCTTGCAGCTTACTACGTCAACTGTTAAATATTTAAATTTGAGTTCATTTAGTTATTGTAGATCAACGCATTTTAAAGTCATCTTGTTTTTGTTAGTAATGTATTTCTTGCATAAAAATAATCTACTCTGCACAGTGCGCCAGAATCCCATATTTTTGGAAAAAGTCATAACTGTTTTTCCTTTATCAATAGGCCCCAAAAATTGGTAAATTAATTAATTGGATGATTATAATTTAAATGAGCATTGTTTTTGGTGTGGTTGCCAAGGCAACCCCATTTGCATAGCAACACATATTTATGCTTAGTTCCTATGGGTTATTTTTAGCCAAATGTTTCTAAAATTGGTATGCAAATTAATTTGATGGTTCTAATAGGATTGAGCATAACTAATTGTTTTACTTTACAGTCACACTTTCATATAGGTACAGACATTTCCAAAATTATAAAGATACAGAAGATACATTCATAAACTATTATCATCTGTGGATGACCTCAATAAGTCAATAACTCCAGCTGGTAAGTTTTTCGTTTTGGTGTGACTTCCTGCTGTCTTTCTCAGAGATGCAATAAATGGATCAGATGTACACAGAAGTCGATTTAACAAATCTTGATTAGTTTTCACACGAGATGATTTTCTTGCAAAATGTTCACAATAGTTTTAAAAGTCTTTATTGCGTGCTTCTTGAGCTTTCTCAGAATACATACCAATGGGTAATGCTAAACTTTTGATAATTTCAAAACCATGGATTAAAATTTTGTGGGAAGATTGTGGCATATAGTACCAAGGATAATGATGAACATAAAGTCGAGCTGTTTTTAAACAGAAAGCCTCAAATTTATCAGTGCCAATATCTAAACCACATTAAGTTGTGCCAATATAATATGCAAATTTAGAATCAGTTCAACATTATTATTTAAAATTTCTGCAAACTTTTCCGCATTTTGAAATGCTTTTCGAGTAAGGATGATAAACCAAATGAATAACTACCTGCCATACCCTTTTTCAAAACCATTTTTTCAATATCATTCATTGCTTTAGGACTTGCCCCACATATAGTACAGCATTGACCTGAATTTGTAACATCTGAAAGAGCAGTATGAACTTTTCCATCAATCATAGTAATTTGTATTATATGATGTGTTTTGATTTTTTTATTATTTATATCAACTTCAGTATCTTGCAAGTTTGAAATCTCCTAATGTGATCCAGTTCTGATTTAGAAACTGCTGCCGTTTCTTTTTCAAATTTAAAACGCAGAGGTCTACAGTACATTGTTGATGATGGTCGTGGATTTCGCCAAGCTGGGTACTGTTTTCCATTTGACAAACCATTGTTTAAATTTCTTATTACTGTTCCTTGCGATATTTGTTTATATATAGATTGTCCTGTGGCACCATCTAAGCCTATTTTGTATCTCGGAGAAAGTCTATCTGGAGTGCTTTCAGTGCTAAGAACATCATACTGTGCCTTGCATATTCTATTAGCTGTATGATCGACCAAAGCTTGCAGTTTTATTTCTGCTGAAAAGTCTGAGACAGATATATCTGCAGGATAGCATAACAGCTTTGCATCTCGAACATCATTATATGGAGGATATATATCAACTCCCATTTCAAATTCTTGATTTCGAATAATTTGGTAGGAAGCTTTCGTCAATCTAGCATCTAAAAGAAGACAAAGAGCTTCATCTTTAGACATTCTGCAATCTTTTTTTGAGGTTTTTTCAGTTGGGTTTTCTTTTCTCCGTTTAATTTCTGAAGCAAATTGTAACGCAGAAGCAGAATACATTTCAGTTAAGTGACTAACTTTATGTTTTTTGGTTTTAGTAGAGTAGTCATCAAAGTTTGTCTTATTTGGTCTTCCAATAGGTATTGGTGTTACATTTAAATTTTCAGGAACATGGCTTTTTTTGTTCTTTTCTTCAAATCAAGCCATGCTGCAATATGACTTGCGCCACTTATCTCGTAGATGCGTCATTATAGTTCCTAATTGCTGCTTGTTGCAATCTAAATTCATAGCATCAATAAGTCTGTCCACAATGCCAGAGTCAGATATTTGTAGATTATTAGGCTTATGCATAATGAATGCATAGATATCAAAATATTTCATTTTCAGCTTACAAATACAAAAAAATACTATTTATGAGACATTTGGAGAAAAAACAAACTCCAAATATTTATATGTTTATTTTAATGTGATAAAAATATGATTTGCTCAAAAATTGCGATGATTGGAGTCTGGGAACACAAAGAAAAGCCAGAATGTTGGCCCCCTGCCCCAAAGATGAAACGTAAAAATCATTAATAGAGACGCAGCTGACACCCGCCGACAATAGATAAAATATATATCGATAATGTACATACTGGGCAAGATATTTTAAGTCTCAAATTTCTGGAGCACCTTGGAGCGCTAAAGTATTTCATTATTTAAGTGAAATTTTCACTAAAAAAAAGTGCTTTAAATACGCCATTATTAGAAATCAATTTATTTGATATAGCTTACGTGCAAAATAGTTTTGCAATAGCTCATTTGATAGATAATACTTAGTTTTATTTAACTATTTAATAAAAAAATGAAGTTTTCATAATTAATACCTATTTTATGCTTATTACTAACACGAAAAATATTATTAAATTAAAAAACAAAAAAATAGAAAAAACTTGAAAAAAAAAATACCTTTTTTATTAAAAGCTTAAAATGCAAACGGCATGATAGTTATACAGAAATATATACATTTTATAAAAGCCGGATGTTTATACTATAAAATGGTATATAACAATGTCATTTTTGAGAATATTTTTTTATTACTTTTTTCCACCACCTGGCCCACTGTGCATCCTCATGCCCACATAAGATGTGGGCATAAATTTAGGACAAAAGCTCTGCCTCCCCATCCCTCTTTTTTTTAATATAGTATTGATCCTGTGGAAAAAAAATACGCTGTATCTATAATTAGTATTTTTGTAGTTGGTTAATCTACCAATTGTTATTTGATAATGCAAATATACTTTTCTTTATATTTTGTTTTGTTGTTAAGTATAAATAAATTGATTTCCAGTTAATAGATGTGGTGTATTTTTTTCCTTTTAAAATTCGATTACTTTTTTTAGATTAATCAGGTGACGTGTTTGTTCAATATACATACGATTGTATGTAAAGTAGATATACAATTAAAAATTATTAAAAAATTTTATGCTTTGTTAATTAGTTAATAAATGTGTAAATAAAAATATCTTTAATTTTACAAAGCCATTAGGGATTGCTTTGAAATCACAATTCGTCATGATTCGTATTTTATCTGCGTGAAAGAAAGTCTATGCAATTATGTGAGCTTATGTATATTTTATATCAAATGTTACAGATTTACTTTTCCTTAAAAATTTTATTGCGGCAGTATTTGCTTAATTTTGATTTATATGACTTTTAATAATGCATTTATATGCCGTTTTATAAAGTTTATTAAGTCTTTAGTTTATTAAACAGTGTTAAAAGATGATATTGTAGCATGTCAGTTGGTTAAACCTTTTCGTTTTCACACTTAATTTTTTTTTTAATTTTTTCCGATTTTCTAGAATACGAAGTAAAGGTCTATAGAGATGCATATCATATATAAAGATATTATATAATATAACAAACGAATAGAAGTGGATTTTTTTAAAAACTTTTTAAAATTTCTAAAAACATCGTAACACCGTTAGAAATTTGTTTCGCATGTGTCACGATGGAGTTTAAGGTTTTAATATGCTTAGAAATAGATTAAGTGTACGCATTAAAAAGACAAATTTCTTTTTTATAGAAAAAGATTTTACATGGAAACTTTAATTTTCTTTAAAATTAACAGGGTAAGAGTACTAATAACAGGGATTATCTTTCTCCTGATAATTCCGGATTTTTCTCATCTTTTATTTTTTTTTCTGGACAGCCAAAACATTTTCCATACATATAAAAGTCTAGGAATATATTGTAACATTTTTTAAGCTTTTTCACTCATCACTCATACTAAAATTAAAAAAAATTCGAAACAACTCATCTAAAGCAAAATTAAGATGAAAATAAGGGAAAATATATTCAGGATATTTTACACAAACAATTTTCCGGATTTTTTAAAGTTAACCTGGGTGATCTATGGAATAAGATGTCAATGGCCTAAAAAAAAATTAATAAAAACTTATTAAAGAAAAAAATAATAGGGTCCGTCCTTATTATATATATATATATATATATATATATATATATATATATATATATATATAT